CTGAAATATATGAAAGTTTCATTTTTATCATTACATTATGGAAAATAATGACTTTTATCACAATATGCTAATTTTTGAGAAGGACCTGTATATGTAATATTACATGACAGGTTCTCAATAGTTATAAGGTATGCAAAAAAACATTTGTAGCAAAGTTGAGGTGGGAAATTACCAAGTTTAATTTCAAGTTCAAGAATGTTTATTATCCACGAGGGGCAATGGGGAATCATGATGGTTGCAGCATGTCAGGGTCCTGGGTAGAGTGTAGTCAAAGCAGTGGAAGAGGTGGAAAAGGTGGAAGCAGTGGAAGTGTATCCTTGACACGGAGTCTGTGCACACAGGCATGACTTGGTTATTGAGAATTTATAGCAGGGCAGGTCACAATGGTCTCATGCGTAGGATACCACTTTGACCATTACAATGTTACAGAAACAAATGTAGAAGTGATGCTCATGGCAGTAGATCTGTGCAAGCCTGGTATGATCTTCTGGTATGTAGCTGTATCTTGACACAATCTGAGCGAGTCGTGCCAGGGCAAGTGCATAAATCATGAAAGCTAAATGAAAGTGCTATGTATTGTGATCATTGTATGTACTCCATACAATGACAAAATTTCCCTCTGTATTTAACCTATCACATGTGAAGTAGACCCATGTGGAGAAGTGGGAAGATATTTAAAAGCCCGGGGAGTAGTCAGGGAACCAGTGTCCCAAGTGTCTCAAGTGCACTACGACATACAAGCATGATGAGGAGAAGAACCTGAATCAGCTGCCCTACCACAATCACCAAAAGAAAGCATCTCAGAGACACAAAAAGTACCAAACTAAAAAAATATATTTTGCAAATACTAGGAACATAGCACTGCCATAATTGCTTTCACACTGAAGGGTGTTTTGAATTTGCTACCATCCAAGGACATAATAATATGTGAGCATAGCAAGGTTGTCATGCAGTGGGAAGGAGGCCAAACTGAGGGAAGAAAAGCCTATTATGCAATATTTGAATGTTGCAGCATTTAATATACTTTTAAATACTTGCATAAAATATTAAAATCAAGTATATCAGTGTATTATAACATTTATGGAATCTGGCTAAAACCCCAGGCTTTGTTTTATTTGCTTCTATGTTGTTTTGGTTTTAATTATGCAGTATTTATAGTTTTTACAGTACAGATTGTACTTTACTTAAATTCATTTGAGATTTTTGTGGCTTCAAATCCAATAATATGCCAGTAGATCACAATTAAAAATTATTTTGTAAAATAATTGGAACAAATCTGCAGAGAATCTATCTCAGTCTTCAAAAGCATACCCAGTCAAAACAGAGTTTAAGAAGAAAGTGCTATGTGTTGTCATCATTATATGTTTCCATCCAGTGATGAAATTAGTTCTCTGTATTGAACCCATCACACCTGAGATACACCCTGTTGAGCAGTGGGCAGCCATGCAAGCACCCGGGTAGCAATTAGGGATTGGGTGTCTTGCTCAAGGACACCATGGCGTGGGCATGGCGGGGAGTTGAATCTGCAACTTTCTGGTCCCAAGTCAGCTGCCCAACCTCTGCCATCTTGGCCCCTTAAGAGGCTGTTACAAACATTAAGTGAATAAAAGGATTGAGCTGCTGACTGCTCTGTCTCATTTCACCTTTCAGGGCTGTGTATATTATATAAGTGTACATTATAAAAGTGTATATTATAAAAGTTTATATTATAAAA